TAAATATGGGTCAAGTCGAATAAGGTTGACTTAATCAAATGAATTGGCTCATGTTGAACAAAACAAATATGGTCAAAATGTGTTGATAAACACCTCTAATACAAAGATATTCTAATATTATTATTTTTTTGTAAATCAAAATATCCTTTAGTCAAAACTAAGAATTAATTCCAATATTAAGATTCATTTAAAGGATCAATCTTTCCAACAAAAAAAAATTAACAAATGTATACATATAAACTATGCATTGAATTAGATATTGAATTTTTAACCACATACTTAATAAATTAAAAAAAGAAAAACAAAATTATCTATTAGTCATGTGAGGTATTATTCCCTCATACACTCCCATAAGTACTCATTCGATACTTCAAATTTTCAATTTCTTTCTTTTTTTTTATAATATTATATCACTTATTACATTCTTTATTTCTTTCTCTTGTGTGTTTTTTCCCCCTTCTTTCACGCATAGGACGTTAATTAAGGTGTACACAACATTAATTAATCTAATTCAAGTGATCCGGGATAGGTGTAACCATAAGTTCTAGACTTAAGCTAACCAAAAGTCAACCATATTACCGCAAACGCCAAATAAGTACGGTCGGTTCTGCAGAGCCATAGACCAATTATAGATTCCACGTTATTTTTTATAATTTATGTAACAATAAATATAGAGTTAATCACGTATATGCTGTTAGTATAAATTTTTATACTAATAATTAATTATATTTTTTAAATTTTATTTATTTATTTTTATTTGATTAAATAAATAAATAACATGACACTATTAAAATATATGATTGGTTACCAGTGTAAAAATACTTTACACTCACAATATATAAATAATTAACTCATAAATATATACAATCTTTCTACAAGTAAACAATCCTAACCAGCCAATATTTTTAAGTTTGATTCTTTTTCTTTCGAATTTAATGTATACAATCTTTTTTAAATGGTGAACATTTTTACAGTTGACATTTTAGTTTAGAACCCAAATCTATAGGCTATACTCTACAATATTATTTAAGTTATTAAATAAATATATATTGCCAGAAGAATATCAGTTTTGTGTGTATTTACTGTTCTTTACATAGATTAGTAACTTCTTTTTTTTTTTGAAAATTAGTAACTAGTTTTTTTTGTGAGTATTGTGTACTAATACCATATTTAAAAAAAAATAGTAAAATTATTGTCGTTGGTAAATTTTTTATGATCTTTATTGACTTATCATGAAATAGTTATTAAAATCACCCAACTTTAATATGCATCAAAGCACAATACTTGAGTTTGTGGTTCAAAAGTCACAATGGGTATGATGTGGAGAAGACTCGCCTAAACTAAAACCCAAACAAATTCCTATTTCTATTTACAACATTCTCTCTCGTTGGGCTTTTGTCTCTGTTATTAATACTGGTTTATATTCAAAAGAAAGTCCTTGAGGCTAAAGTTATGGGCTTCATCATACTTGAGTTATGATTATAAGTAGTCATTTAAAATTAAAATTTCTCATTACTGCCATCTAGCCTAGCTTTTTATATTTTGGGTTTCAATTCCACTCTCATTTCACCCAAAAAAAAAAAAAAAACAAACAAACAAACAAACAAACAAAGAGTTAATCACCTATACACAGTCAGTGTAAAAAAAATTTACACTGGCAACCAATTATATCTTTTAATTGTATCATGTCACTGTAAACACATTTACTTTTAATAGTAACATGACACAATTAAAAAATATAATTAGTTGCCAGTATAAAAAAACTTTAAACTGAGAGTATATAAGTGATTAACTCAAAAACAAAACATACTCTCATTTCTGGGCTCGAAATACCAATTAATCCATAAGTAAACGTATAATAATTGTTCAGACACCCCATTAATACTTATATATGAATGGAACATGAATTAAAAGTAAAATATAACAAAGTTTTTGAAATTATACGCATAATTAAATTTAGTTCCTGAAATTATAAAAATATCATTTTTATTATCTGAAATTGTAAAACATAGGTCATTTTTAGTCTTTTTTCATTGTAGTGTTTAGAGATGGAAATAAATATCACTTAATAACTTTAAATACTAAAAAACATTAATGACAAGTATATATTTATAAATATTTATTTATTTATAATAATAGAAAATAATAATTTGAATTGAGTTCAATTCGTGAAAGTCAATAATAATAATAATGATAATAATAATAAATTGAGAGCATCTGATAATTTATAAGTATTATTTATACTAATATATATTTAAAAAATATTTTCTCTCGTAATTACTTGCATATTGGATCATTATATCCTTAATTATAAAAAAAAACAAAAAATAAAAAACAAAAATAAAAAATAACATTAATTTTTGGTAATCATCATCTTGTAACTAGGGTTGTCAAAATCGTGCAACTCAATCCGTTTGGTTCAACCCATTTCAACTCACTTCTAAGTGGGTTGCCTCGTTCTATACCACCAATTTTAATGTTCAAAATTTTCTAATTCGATTCGTGCCACTATGAGTTAGTGGATTAAATGGACCAATCCACCAATCTACCTAATTTTTTTAAAAAAAATATATATTTTAAAATAAATTTCAATTTAAAATAAACTTTAATCTGAAATAACCTCTAATCTAAAATAAAATTTATCAAATTAAGTATCACGTATATAACATTAAACTTAATTAAAAAAGTGTACAACTTTAAATAATAAAAATTGTCATTAAGTAATTGTCCATAAATTTCATTGGAAACTTAAGTAAATAAATCTATGGCATTTTCGTGTTGTTTAACATCAAATTTATCTCTCTCTACAAAAAAAAAGTGATATATTATTAAAATTATATATATATATATATATATATATATATATATAACAATAAA